CGCCCAGAGTCAGGCGGTTTGCGCGGGATGGGAGACGCGAAAACCGCCGCGTGGCCCGCGCCGCGTGGCCGCGTCCCCCGCCAGGACCGCAAGGCCGGGGCCGCGCCCTCGGGGCCCAGGCCCAGGCCCGGGCCGCGCGGGGCGCGCGGGGCGCGGCGGAGCTGGAGCAGGCGCGATGAGTGCGGGCGGGGAGTCTCCCCTTTTTGGGCTTCGGGCCTGGAAGCTGCAGGTGCTCTCGGCCAACGAAGCCTTTCGTCAGAGGGTCCGGCAACTGCAGGAGGAGAAGGCTGCACAGGGAACAGCGCAGTGTAAGGTGTAAGGTGTGAGGAAGCGAGGGCTCTTCGGGCCTAGCAGGCCGAGCTCGTTCGCAGTCAGAAGGGGCCCGTGCCTCGGAGCCTCGGAGCTCTGAAGCGGCGCCCCCAGCCACGAGCAAGGTTGGAAAGCTTCATCCGATCCCGAATGACGCCCGGCATGACCTGGCCTGTTAGTCCCAAGCCGTCAACTTCGGGTCTTGTCTTTGGGGAGGGGGTGCTTCTTGATATAGGGCCGTCACCATGACATAATTGGAGCAGATCTGCAGATTGCCTGAGGACAGCGATTGAAACCAAGCTTGCCGACAATTTCGTTAGTCCGTATCCGCCATCTCCGTAGTGCTGCGAGCGCGGCGACAGCAAAAGACTGCCGGAAACACACCTGAGTTGCATGCGGATCTTATCCTCTCGGCCTGCATGGACATGGCTGTGTGTTCTGTTCTGAGCTCGTGTGCTGGCACGCAGTGGTTCAGAGGGGGGAGGGGCTACGTACGGCTGGAGCTGGCCTCGGCTCCATTATGGAGGCGCCTCCTTTACTCTCAAACTGTATACGGAATCAAACCTTGCAGCCTGCCTGACGCCCGAAGTCAGGACAGTCTGTACGATGAGTTCGGAAACTATCAAGGCGTGAAGTGAGGGTTTCAGATGGCTGGGAAATACTAGCACACACCATCCGTGCCCTTCGACACGTCGATCTCTCTGTCCGGAGGCCCCGACATAGATGACGACGAGGATGAAGAAGATGACGACCTCCTCGGAGGCTTAGACGAGGAGGAGAAAGGCAAGGGAGATGATGATGGCACCGGGGTGGGTGTCTGGGCTTAGCCGAGATTAGGGAGAATCTGGTACATGTTCGGCATTCCACCACGAGATTTGAGGTGACGTGCCCATGGAGGGCGTTGAGGCGAGTGGTGACAGGTCACTAGTCAGATCATGTCAGATCTTTTGAGTTTAGAAAGAAGCAGTTCCAGTTGATACCGGTTTCTGTGGCTACTGCTTCGGTGTTTTGTTCGTTTGCCTTGCCGTTGGTATGTATTTCCCGCCGAAGGAGTTTCTTCCCGGACAGCTCGTTGTGTGATACTGACCCTGGCCCACGTCGAGAGATGATGTGCACGACATGTGTAGGCGTTGTACGACCGGATTCTTGCTTATCCGTTGTGACATGACCATGCCTCTGCCGGCTTATGCCCTGTAGCTCAGACTGCGCCATGCGACGAAGTACATAGTCTGCTTCTTTGTGTCTGAAGGAGGTTGTGCACCCAAAGTTCGGCTTGTTACAAATTCTGCGCTTTGCGCCCCTAGCTGCGACACGGAGCCTGACTGGTGTCTGTAATTTTTCATCGCCCGAAGATCAAAGCGAGGGTCTCTACCACACATCAGCTCCCGTACAGCTGTTGACTGGTCGAACATTTTCCTGACCTGAGCTTCCTTTGCTTTGGCAATGTGCAGTTGTGTCTTATTCGGTAACCAGGTTCTGGGATTTGCTGGCTGATGACTGATGTCGGTTGAAGACTTGTGCTGGTGCTTTCTTTGTTGAAGCAGTTGGCCCGGCGGGAGCGGTGCACGAGGCATTGTGGGAGCAAAATTCAGCATCACTCCGAATTTCCTCAATGCAGAAGTTCTTGATTCGGTTTTCATTTTGCATTCATCATGGCATGCTCGAGTAGCGTGCGCTCGGTTGCTTTGTCGTCGACTTCGAGTGGATTTCAGTGAGATGACTCTTGCAGGATATTGTTTTGGATCGCTCAGGACACGAACTTCTCGCCTTGACATGATTTTGTGCCACAAGAGCGTCCGACAAGCTACGACCAATATCCCTAATCTCTATTCACCCTGACCCCGAAATCTTGAGACGGGAGAGGCCTAAAAAAGAACTAAATAGGCATCAAAAAAACTAAATAGGCATCAAAAAGATTACGTGGGTATCCCGAGAGATTGACAGAAAGCCAGAAAGACAGAAAGAAAGAGACAAAGAAAGAACGAATGAAAGAAATAAAGAAAGAAAGACATGAAGAAGAAATCAAGAAAGAAAGAGGAAAGAGAGAAAGACAGAAAGAAAGAAAAAAAGAGAGAAAGAAAGAACGAGACAGGAAAGAGAGAAAGAAAAAAAGACAAAAGAAAGAAATAACGAAAGAAGGAAGGAAGGAAGGAAGGAAGGAAATAAAGNNAGAAAGAACGCATGAAAGAGAAAGAAAGAAACAAAGAAAGAAAGTCATGGTTCGCTGCGTGCTTCGTTTACACAGGGATCTAGCCAAGTTCGTTTGCTCACGTCCTTTCCTGTTCGTGCCAAAGCAGTTGCTCCCATTTAGGAGCACAGGCAAGATAACGCTCTCGCAGCGATGAAGAAACGTGACATATGGCCATACTTTCAAGCTACAAATAACACACTGAGGAATCCAGGCTGCAGGGATTTTCATACATGGTTTAGGGTATCGGCTCAGTGCCCTCAGCGACTGGCGAAAGTCCGATGTGCCGCATATCCTAAGATTATCTTTTTAAAACTTAGTTTAGTGCTTCATTTTCTTTTAATCTGTATTTGTTTTTCTTGATGATTATTTTAGTGCTGAAGTTTTTTTTGATGCTTATTTTAGTGCTTAAGTTTTTTTGATGCTTATTGTATTTTTTTTGATTCTCCGGTCTAGTTTTTTCTGATGCCTATTTAGTTTTTTTGATGCCTCACCCCTTGAGACCCTGCCTGAAACCTTACAAACCCTCAGTCCTGAACCCTAAACCAGTAAAAGAAGCTGAACCACCAACCAGCACATGTACCTGAAGCCCTGAACGACAAACCCTTCATGTTGCTGCGCAGAATGCCCTTTTGACACGGGGCCGATCCGAGGCAGATCATTCTGCACGAAGACAAGAAGCCACTGTTTTGGATATGAAAGGATTTTGTTCTCAGGGTTCGGTGGCTTTTTAGATGCCGAAACTGCTGAAACTAGAACTGCGTTCTGCAGGCCGCTCCCGCGATCAAGGCCAAAAACTGCCAGCCATTGCCATCCTAGGTATTACCCGGATGCAGAAGAAGTCTACGGCGACGCAGAAGCTTTGGTCCAGATGGAAGACACCCAGCCTCTGACGGATCCCATCATCACGCCTGTTCAGTCCAAAAACTTCGACGCCCGGCAATGTTGCAGACTTCGGTAGCAGCCCATGACTTTCATGCCCGGCATGCTACTGCCCTGTAGCAGCGAGGATCTCTTGGAGAAGAAGATGCCGGACACGACCTTTGACTTCAATTTCCTCGCTGCCATGATGGACAAGCCCAACTTGGTTCGTGCCGTGCTGTATGTTCATCTGCAGGTTTTCTGTAGACTGCAGGTAGCTGTGTCTTCTTCAGAGGCAAGAGCCGGCACGCCGAGGCAACATTTGTTTCTTGGGTGCCATGCACCATGGGAAGACCACCTTCATGGACCTCCTCGTGCTGAACACTCATGAAAAGGACTGGAAGGTGGGAAAAGAGATACGCCCCTCGCCGCCATCTCCTGCCCTCGTTTTAGATTTTGAGGGCTTGGGGGAGGGGGAGGGTGCGTGTTGTTTCTTTCTCAGGCTACACGGACTCCAGGCAGGACGAGCAAGATCGCGGCATCACGGTGAAAGCCTCCTCCATGAGCTTGGTCTTGCAGGATTCCAAGGACCGCAGCACGAAAGGTCTGGGCCGCTTTAGACTTCGGAACCGTGACATTTTGGCCGGCGCAGGACAAGTCCTACCTCTTTCATGCGATGGCACCTTGGCTAGTCTGACTATTCCTGATCACGTTATCTACTGGAAGTGGTGTTTGCCATGCCGAAGGACACTCCTGGCCACAGCAACTTCCAGGACTTCATGGCGAGTAGGTAGGCAGGCGGGTATCCTGTGCCCAATGCAATGGGAAGGACGAAGTGATAGCAGCTCTGGCTTTGGCTGATGGCGTCGTTCTGGTGGTTGACGTGGTTGTCGGCCTCACCCAGCAGCCATCCTGCAGGGAGATGCAGTTGGAGTCGCTCTATAGAATGGGTCGTGTGAATCTGCACTCGGCCCAGGCACATCGAGAGAATGCTCAAACACGCTTTTCAGGACAACCTCAAAGATGCCCGGTTGCAAGACGGCCTCTCTTTATCTGTTGATTTGATCTCCCGTCCTGGCTTTGAGGTAGTTCTCGTCATTAACGGCCTCGATCGCCTCATCATGGAGCTGAAGCTGCCTCCGACAGATGCTTATCACAAGTGCCTTGACCGACGGATGATCTCGGAAAGCAAAAGCAGACAGACCTATTGGGAGATGCCCCCCCTTCGTGTGTAGGTTGCGGTACTGCATCGAAGACATCAACGAGACCATGGAGAAGCTCTACGACTCGGCCCGCGCCGTTTTTTGCGCCGTCTTTTGCCGCGCTGCTCCCTCGTGCTCTCCGCTTAGCAGGCCGGAACGGAAGTCGACGAACGAGTCTACTTTTCGCCGCTGAAGGGGAATGCCTCGGCCCAAGATTGAGCCATGTGCCTTCCTTACAGCATCGGCACCTTCTCCCTTAATATAACTTACATTCGCAGGTGATCTTCTCCTCGGCTCTGTTCCGACTCTAGGCTGGCGATGTAGATTCGATTGAGGAGTAGCCTGCTTGAAAAATGCTGGCCCTCTTTTGTTCCGTCTAAGGAATGGTGTTCACCTTGGAGTCGTATGCTGCAATCTACGCCGAAACGCATGGTTTCAGTTTTGACCACTTGATTCTTGCTAAATGCCTTTGGGGAGACATGTACTACAACGTCCCTTGGCTTGCAGAGCACAGCACAGTCGGTCAGACTCGGAGTCTGCTTGCTTCTTCGCAGAGTTGCAGCATAGGCAGAGGAGCGCAAGTTTCAGAAAACCCCTCCAGATGCGGAGCAGCCGCGCTCCTTCGTCCAGCCACCAGACTCCGGCAGAGAGCAGTGGCCGTGTCTTTTTCGTAGGAAGACTGAAGACCGAAGCGGGTCCCCCAGCTTCACCCGTGGCCATCTTTCCCAGGTTCGTCCTGGAGCCGATCTACAAGATCTTCGCTCATTGCCTCGGCGAGGAGAAGGAGGACCTGGCACAGACCCTCGCAGAGGCGCCCGAGCAGCTCTTGCCAGCTCTTGTGCAGCATATTTTTCTTAGAGGGCCCCCTCCTTCTGTGGCCCTTTAGATGCAGGTGGGCATCTATCTCCACAAGCGAGACTATGAGCTAGACGCCCGAGCGTTGATCCGCAAAGTCTTCCAGCAGTACTTCGGCTCCGGTGGAGGTGCGCGAGAAGCCAGGCAGCTCCTGAAACTCTGTGAGAGAGCGCATCTTCTCTCTCCTCACAGGCTTGCCATCCTTTGTTGACATGGTGTCTTGGCCGAACTGGGTGCTCGTTGCGAACAGCAGAACACGAGCATCTTCCTTCCCAGTATATACGAGGTTGTGAGACACATCCCGAATCCGAAGGAGATCTGCCGCAATCAGTCTGTCAGAACGGCTGTCGTGGATGTACGCTTGATGTCATTTCTGTGCTCGCTTCTGCAGGAGAATGCTGCCATAAAGGCCAGTATTGCCATGATTAGTGGGATGAAGCGGATGTTTGCTGATTGTTGGCGGGCCCAGTAGAAACATCGGGTGTTCGACTGCGAATCTGCAGATGCCAGGTAGAGAAGCTGTACTCTGGTGACCAAGACGGTGCAGTGTCAGAAGACATGAAGAAGCTGGATACCACAGGTGGCTCTGAGATGCCCTGTGAGTTCTACTGTGTTTCAGTTCTCTGCTCATCAGGATATCTGATGCTTCATGTGGTGTCTTGACAGCATGCAGCAGCTTCTCAGAAGATCTTTGTGCGACTTTGAGACCTTCCGCTACCTTGCATTCGAGGTGAAGCAGTACCACAGACCCGATTGCAATGCCTTTGATGTCTTTGGTCGTGTCCTTTCCGGCACAGTCTTCCGTGGTGATCGTGTGAAGATCTTGGGCCTCCAGGCTGCATGGATGCTCAGCGTTCTGGAGTTAATTTTCAGGGTCTGCTATGAAGAACAGAGCCCAGGAGAGACGTACTCGCTGGATGACGACGAGGACATGGCAATCAAGGAGATCCAAAATCTTTGGATCCTCGAGGCCAGCCTCGCTTTCTGAGACCCTCTGTAACTTTCCTGTTTCGCTCAGGGCCGGTATCGTGTGGAAGTTAGCCACGTTCCAGCAGGAAATTGGGCAACCTGGCCATAACTGAGACTCGACCGCCGAGCCACGTGGCAAACATCGACCTCTCAGGTACTTATAGGAGGCATCGAGACGTGCATCAAGAAGACGGCGACCATCACGACTGCCTCGAACGAGGAAGAGGCCAAGCTTGTGCCAGCATCCAAGCGACTTGGAGCGACGTGGGACCCAAGGTCGAGATCTTCCGGCCACTGCGCTTTCCGACGACCCCGGCTTCCGGCTCAGTCCGGGCAGCCCCCAACTGCACGACGAACGTCTCCTCCCTGAGATCGCCCAGAGGCGCAGCGAATCCAGGGGACCGTTCTTAGGTCATCAAGGTCGCCATCGAGCCACTGCAGCCTGCGGAGCTGCCGAAGATGGTCGATGGCCTCAGGCCCGGGCTGCCCCAGTTCCCAGAGTTAGAGTCTCGAAAGCCATGGCCCTGCCGGGCAGGAAGATCGACAAGGCCTACCCACTGTCGAAGACCAAAGCTCGCCCCTGAGACCCGAGACTCGGGAGGGGCAGAGGGGCACTCGGAAGCACCGGATCCAGGTGGAAGAGAGTGGCGAGCATCTTGGCTGCGTAGAGTTGTCGCCGTTCGTGTCCGAGTCTCCAATTTGCGCCAATTCGCTGTTTCTAAGATTTGCGCCCGGAGAGCTTTATGTGCCATAGAGTTTCCACACTATACAGAGCGCAGGCATGTGCTCCTGGGCACTGGGGAAGTTTACCTGGACTGCATCCTTCACGACCTTCGAAGGCCCGGGTAGAATCAAAGGTTCAGGTCAGTAAAGGCCACAGCACTCACATGAGCACGAGTAGACAGGTTTCTGGGTTTAGCTGTGTGCTTTCATGATTTGAGGCTTTATGGTGACCTGGAGATCAAAGTGGCGGATCCCGTCGTAGAGTTTTGTGAGACAGTGGTGGCACTCTGGCTGTCGTTGGCCATGGGATCCTGCTTGCATGTTGCTGCTCAGTTATGCTGCGTCACATGACTCGATCTCCGAGGAAACCAGTTCCCTGAAGTGCTTTGCAGAGACACCGAACAAGAAGAACAAGCCTGGCTCTTTTAAACAAGGGCCCTTGTTGTTGCAGAAGACGCGCAGAGAAACCGAGACTCCCTCCCTTCCTTACTAAGGATCTACATGGTGGCCGAGCCTCTGGAGAAAGGCCTCGGCGAAGACATCGAGAAGGGCAAGGCCGGGGCGGAGTGCCGGTCGCGGTCGCGGTGCGACGTGTGCCGGTAGAAAGAGGTATAAGCAGAATACAAGGCAAAAGACAACGGAACAACACAAGGCATAGGCATGGACACCTGTCCCCGGGATCCAAAAAACTGCTCCAAGCAACATCTAGAAAGAGGAAGGAAAGAAACAACGAACGAAAGAAGCAAAGGAAGAAATAAAGAAAGAAATAAAGAAATAAAGAAAGAACGAAACAAAGAAATAAAGAAAGCTTTAACAAACAGAAACACAGAAAGAAGGACAGCAATTCAGCGCAGAGACAAAGAAAGACATAAGTATTGAAAGAAACAACGTAGGAAAGACATAATCGAAAGAAATGCAACATAAGCAAACAAATAACCAAAGAAATAAAGAAAGACGGAAAGAGACAGCAATTCAGCGCAGAGATAAAGAACACAGAAAAACAGAAATACAGGGAAGACACACAGAAAGAAAGCACGAACAACAACAATGAAGAAAACAAGAAAGAAAGACCAGCAACTCAGCACAAAAAAGTTAGTCCTTTACTATGGAACCTAAGCAATTACAAGTGTACTTGCCCTAGTAAAAATCTAGTTACTTAGGCACATGCACTCTTTGCAGACAGTAAACATAAAGAAAAAGTCCTTTGAAACCATCAAGCCGAAACCTTCATTCCCAGAGCTTCATTCCGTGCGTTTTCCCAGGATGATAGCGATATGATTATGAGGGTTTTGATGGCGAGGATGTATATGTATAAGTGATTATACGTGTGTATGTGCATGCATAAGGATGTATATTCACATATATCCACAGTTTCCACTGTTTCGGGCGTAGAGTCGAGTTGACGCAGCCCTTTGGCGTGCAGTAGTAATTAGGGTGATAACAAGATAGGGCGAGCCGTCTGTCCCGGACCAAAGCGTGAGGCATCCTTCTGAGAGCTTGAACTGGATGCCAGGTAGTCGAGACAGAGATCGGATGTCATCACCATGACTGAACGGCACCGAAAGACATGTCCGAACTCCCTGCGCCCACAGTCTGAGCGACAGTCGCATGATGATGTCACAGGAAAGTCGAAGAGAAGGCAGGGACGCTCGAAGCCGTTGGAGCCGATCTCCTCTGACAGAAAAGGCATGAGGAGCCCATGCAAGTTGAGGTGAAAGCCACACTCGTGATCCGACTCGGCGAAAAAATCCAAAGGTTCACCTGAGCTTAGACGGTTCAGCGACTCTTCGTGGGTATAGACAATGAATGATTGTCGGTCAAGGTGCCTCTCACGGTGCGAAGGGGCGCGGCCAATGCAGATTAGGACATGGTCGGAAGTCCAGGGAAGAGGCGGGGGTATGGTGACATTCTGGAGTTCAAAGAGACCGAGGAAAGTAACGAAATACCGAAAAGTTTCGAACTTGTCAGATCTGTCCCGTGTGGACGGTACCAACCACTCGGCTAATTCGGCAACTTGCTGAGAGTGTTCATATGACTGGCACCAGCATCCCATTGCAGCCTATCCCTCCAGGCCTCGGCAGTGAGTCGCATCCGGCGCAAGAGCAGGCACACACAAGAAAACGAGGCCTTGATGCGATCCCATAATACGGCATCAGGTAGGGATTCAACAGGTCCATCAAACCCGAGGTGTGCAGTGAAGGTCTGTCAAGTTCATCATCAATGACATGGCGGCAATCAAACACTGCTGGTCCTTCGGCCTGCAAGGTAGGGGCGCAGAACATATGCTCCTTGGCGGCTTTATGGCTCCACTGGCCGAAAACGAGGCGACCCTATGCAGACTGCCCAGGAGAGCGCTCCTGCAGGCAGCGGAGTGGCGGAGGTGTTTGCATAACCGAACGTTGGTGGCATAGAGGAAAACAGTGCGAACATTGGAGCCGGAGCCCTGGTGAGAGTCTTCGGACCTCCTCGGCTCGTCCGTGTCTTTTAAAGGCATGCACGGCCCAAGCACGGAAGTCACGAAAGAGCATCCGGCAGCACGTGCAGACTTCCTGCTTATCATCCGCCTCTAAAATGTCGGACGGGACAGTCGCCCCCAGCCTGCGGGCCTGACCGACAAACATGCCAGCATGCTGTTCAGTTGTCGCATGCCACCTTTCCCTTGGCAGAGCGGCTGCGATGCCCTTCTGACCCGTGCTTTCCATCTGCAGGAAATTGCTTGGCGTCCTCGCTCCAAACACTCCAGGCGTGGCGGAAATCACTGAGTCCCCCTTGTGAGCCAAAGAGGGTCCACAGCCAGTGGACGGATTCACGGACAAGAGCAAGCCAACTTTTCTCCCAATGGGGGCCAATGCCCATATTCATCGAGCCGGATGCAAGACAATACATACCTTAGCCGGAATGCATATCGTAACAGAAGCGTGGGTGTAGCATTTGGCAAGCCATTTGTCCGAGGCCAGAGGAAAGCACAGAGATGTGTTGAGACCCAACGCCTGTCCAGCTGCCTGACCCATAGGACAGAACAGTGGCAAGGAGGGGGTCGAAAAGGAGCGCATTGTGGTGCAAGTATCCTCCAAAGTGGCGGTATGTCGGCACAATTCTGAGCTTGGCCCGGCATCGGACCACAAGCGGCATTTCAAGAGAACCTCGCCGTTCTGCTCCCCTAAGATCTTGTTGCGGGCTCCTTGGAGCCTTTGGAACAGAGGTTGCTTAGCGCCTCTGTCTGGCTTTTTTGGAAAGATTTGGTACAAGCGCGCGTTGCAGGCACACGTCAATCAGGGCAGAGCCACTGTGGGCAAGGGCTTCCACAAGATTGGCTGGTTTGGGACTCATCAGGAACATCGACAAGTTGTCCAGGTCCATCCATGTACCATCTGAAAGCCTTATACGCCTTGCGAGGATACACGCCCAAGTTACATCTCAAGGG